GTTAAAAATTATATATTGCTTACAGTCAATACACTGAAATTTAAAAGGGTATTTACATTCAGAAATGAGCTCAGAGCGATACAGGTTATTTAACACAAAGACTTTCCAAAACACTCTTTGGAAGGGGCTCAGGTCATCTAAGCAGGTTCCAATACAAACACAATGTACCTCTCCTGCGAGAGTAAGAAACTGCAGCTGTATCATAAAATCAGTTAAGAAAAGTGATATGGAAAAAGTACTACCTGGATTCCTGCCTTCCTTCTACTGAACTGATAGCTCCCCTTAATTCAGCACTACACTTGGAGCATCACGGGCACCTCGGGGCTCCCCAGTACAAGAGAAACATTGACACACTGGAGTGAGCCCAGCAGAGGGCAACCAAGATGATTAGGGGACTGGGGTGTCTCTGTACAAGGAAAGACTGAGAATATTGGGGTTTTCAACCTGGAGAAGGCTTGAGGGGGATCTCACTGCTGCCTTCAGCTGCATGTCAGGAGGATCTAGAGGAGATGGAGGCAAACTCTCCAGAGATACAACGATAAGAGGCAATGGATATGTGTTACAACACACGCAACCTGGGTTAGATACAAGGAAAACATTTTCACCATGAGGGTAGTGATAGTGGAAATAGGGTCCAGAGACGTTTGAGTGTCCAACCTTGGAGCTATCCATGACTCAACTGGACAAGGCTCTGGACAACCTCCTCTAACTGGATCTGCTTTTAGGCAGAGGATGAACAAGGTGACCTCCAGCAGCCCCTTCCAACCTACGCTGTTCCAGAGCTCTGTGAGATCGATGGGAAAGGTCTTGATTGGAGCAAAGACAGTGTTTCCATGCCTGCAAATACCAAGTTTGTACTGCAGCTCCATTCTTTAATGGAAAATGATGTTAAAAATATCTGAGAAACACTTTCAGAAATTTTGAGGCTTTTCACAAAAATTAAGTTGAAAATAAAAGTTAGGCATTAAGACTCTCCATGAAAAAATGAGTCATATTTTAAGTGAATTTGTGAGAAATCAGAACAAACATCTGGGGTTTTCTTCAAAAGAGAATAATTTGAAAAAAATTTCTTCAAAGGATTCTTTTTATTATGTTTCAGAACACAGCAAGCTGTGAAAGCATGAGATGCTTCCTATCAAATTCCATTCCCACTTTTCCTGACCTCTTTTGTTTTCAGCAGCAAGCACAGATTTATACAGCCTGGTCCACCACACAGTGGAAATTCCCAGCAAGGTAACCTTAGCCCAGGGCCTGATGTAATCAGCTTGCCCAGAAACGGCAGAGCACTGGGAATGCCCTGGCACTGCTGGTCTAGCACAGGTGCAGGGCTAGCTGAGCTGGCCAAGTAACGTGAAGGCAAATACATGTGCGTACATTTGGTGACTCCTACAGCAGCTACCATTGATGAAATCTCACTGATACCAGATCAATGCTATTACCACTGATAAGGCACAAATTTTTCTACGCAGAAAAGACTTTCCTGTTCCCATAAACAATGAGTAATCAGTTTTGCTCATGCCGAGGCATTTTATCTAAGACTAATTGTATAATCCAACTGACATTTATTTCATTAAAATTTTTCCATTAAAAGATGTGATGAACAGTATCCCCCAAACGTCTCGTTACTAATACACAAAAATTCTCCGTCAAAAAGAGACCTCATTATAGCAATAAATTTATTTTGCCTTAAAAAATTGGCTGTCACAAAAAGTCCATGCGGGTAGCATAGCAGCTACCACACTTAAGCATCAGTTCAGCACTGAGCTCCAAGAATCTCAAATGAAACCACAGGAGATGGCAAGCTGAGTTGAGGAGGCCTGTCACTTCAGCAGACTGAACTAACAGTAGTTTTATAATGAAGTCCCTAGATTGAAGAAAATGTAAAATCACCCAAGAATAAAATTACCTGTCTTCAGCAAGAGTTACTCACTGATTTTCCCTTACCGGTAAATTGGGAAACACCCACTGAGAACAGCAACTATGTACAGTTCCATCCATAAGGAATGCCATTCTGAACCTAACCTAAATGTACTTGAGCTCCCAGTCAGTCACTCTTCCTATTTCTAGCGACTAGGAAAAAACTTTCTTGAGAAAGTGACAGAATTCAGACCTGACACACAGGCCACAAACCACCAGAGACAGGCACTGCTTTGGTCGTCCTTGTTTTGTGATGTCATGAGAAAGACAAGCTAACCCAATGTACGTAGACACAAACAGCAGAAATTCTGACTATTTTTTATCTTTGCTCCAGCTCTCCCAAATACAGTCCATAAGCAAAGTCATATGTAATAAATCATTTATTTGTGGAAATTTTTCTTTAATACAAATGTATTTTACCACAACGGAAAGGCAGATACAGCATAAAGAAGCAATTAACAATATAAACTACCCATAATATCAACCTGACACAACACATCACCACTGAAGTACTGCACTAATTGCACAAATAATTCTGCAACATGTCCAGGTCTCATTCAGGTGTGTAACTGAATGACAAAAAACAGGAATCACTGAAAGCTGAAAAACACACAGTATAAAAGGGTAAAAAACTGCCCCATCTCCATATTCTTGTGATGCAGATTTAGAAAACAGCAGGGTGAGCATGAGCAAAACCTACAACATTTAAGTAGATTCAAGATAAGCATGCCGAGTAGTGATAAGTACCAAAAAAGTTGTTGTTAACCTTGACGATGTTTCTGCAAGCTTTGATGGATCCTATGTTGTACATTGTGTTGTCTGACCCAGAAACAAATGTTCTCTGTCTCAAAAGTAGCTGCAACTCCCACTGAAGATAAAGGACAAGACTGTCACAGAAAGGGGTCTAAAGCCAGGCTGAGATAGGGACATTTTTCAGAACTGCCAAACACTAAACAATTCCCCTGAATTCAAAGTCAGTTACAAAGACCTTTTCCAGTTTGACAGCTTATGTAATAGTCTAAGTGTAGATTTTTCAGTCAAACATAAGATTCCAAGTCTGCCAGGATTAAAGTTAATGCTGATACTATGGCTAAGTGCAATGTGCCGTTTGGGAAAGATGCCATCACCATCTAAACATTAGAAGTGCTAAACATTAAAAGTGCTAAACATTAGAAATTCCTGAAATCTGAAGTGGAGAAAATAATTTAATACCCTTAAGTTCAGTGTTACATGTGTACACGACTCTTCACATGCAGAATGAGGTCAAGGGGGCACATATTCAAAAAAACAACACAGAAAATCAGCTTTTCTGATGTGTATATAGATTCACACCTTCACGCTGTAGCTAATACAACGAAGAGCCCTAAAATGAAGCCATACAGTTTCCATTTATTGAAATGAGGAGTTTTTGACGGAGGCAAATATTCTGAAGGGTTGAAGAAATTAATCACCAGATAACTTTTGCAGCAGTTATTTTTGAGTTTTTGAGGGATTTCAGGGTAGAGAAGTGTTAATTAATAACCACGGTACTATAGTTTTGGCAAAAGGTACAGGTATCTGTGAGCCATAATGAGCCATGATACTTGTAAATGTCCAATAAACCTTCACTTCTATTGTCTTGATGCTTGCCTGGATTTAAAAAATTAAAAGGTGATTAATTACAGTAGGAGTCTTTTTACAGAAAGACTCGAGAGTTCACAAGCTTTACATCCACCCCAAACTTCATCACGACTCTGAATCCATCACTACTGGAGCAAAAATAAATTAAACAACCTAGATACTGATGGTAAAATTGTTCCAGTGTGAGAGAACTTGCTCTCCGACTACAAAGCCACCCGGGGGCAGGGAAGTAAAGGCGACTGCTTGCACCTCGGTGGAGCATCCATTTCCACTTCCCTCCCTCCCAAGCAGTATCAGCGGGACCGCTCTGCACGCACCTGCAGGGCTAAGGCATGCAGCGAGAACGAAACTGCCAATGGAAGAACTCGGTTCCTAAAAAAAATCCGAAGTGCTGACGGGTCATGCCAAAAAAGGCCTTATTTCTTGCATTCTTTACCCCAGCAGCTAATGACATGCTTTTCTTCGAGGTAAACAACCAATTATAAAAGCGCCCGCTTTAGTACCCGCCGCAACTCTGCCTTCTCTGCCTCTAGCACCAGGGCTTTTAAAATTCACAATGAGAAACGTCTCCGAGATCCCTTACTAGCAGGTCTTACTACCGCAAAGTGGGTTTTGCGCTTCCTTGGACTACACTCTTCTCCTGGCCCCCAGCCAGGCACAGCGAATTCCTCCCTCCGCGCCGCTCCGCTAATCCCGTCCGTCCCCGCGGGCTGCTGCCCGGGCTGTCCCCTCCCTTTCAGCCCGAGGGCTGGGCAGGACCGGGCGTTCCGGAGCCGTCGTCCGCCGGCAGCTCCCCCCCTGGC